AGAATTTTGATTTTAAAAAATATACTTACAATCTAATATATTATTCTTTAGAACTTGTGTTTTTGTTTGAATTATATGGCTCTTCAACAATGCATCAAGGTAATATTAGGTGGTTTGAATTAGATTGGTATTGGAATATAAGTATAATTATCTTTTACAACACTTATCTTTCAATTTTTTTCTTGATTTTCTAGGATTCTTTTTGCATTATGGTATTTGAATTTAGTGTTATATTGAGGTTATTCATGTGGTGTTTGATTTGGTGTTAATACGTTCTTATTCATTCGATTTTACCAGTTTATCCCATTTTTTAGAACTTATATTCTTATTTGGATTATATGGCTCTTCAAGGTAATATTCGGTGATTTGAATTAGATTAACGTTGGAATATTAAAAAATGGAGTATATAATAATCTTTCACAACACCTATCTTCAATTTCTCTTTTGATTTTCTAGAATTCCTTTTGCTATTAGATAATTGTATCACTATGTTAGTTCTCTATCAAATGGTATGCTTCTTATATATTGAAGCTATTTTTTTATATTAAACTTACCGTCAGTTTATGCTTATTGAAATGATTGTTAGTTGGTATATCTCTTGTGTCTAATTACCTGTCGAAGCTGTATGTTGTACCTTTTTTTTGTTAAAGTTATCGTATATTATAAAAAATCTGCTAATATGAGTTCTAAAGCAGTGATGAATAATGTTGCATGTTATTATCAAAACAGTACCAGTACGAAGAAAGATATTCAGAAAGCAAATTATTGGTTTAGAAAATATAAAAGTCTTTTGGAAACTAATAAATCGCCAGATCATGCCACCAGTATGTTATTTCACTATTAAAGTCTTACTAATTATTATTGATAATGTATCATGCTTCTTACCTATCATACTTCTTACTTGTTAAGGCTGTGTTATTCATAGTAAGTTTTTAACTTTCACCCGTCGGTGCCATCTCCAACAGTGGCAAGTCGTTGTCTCTCGATATCATCACTACAAGTAAGTGATATTTTTTACGTTATACTTTAAAATCGTGTTAATTGATAATATATATTTTTTACCTTTCTATATTATACTTAGTTTTTTTTTTCGCCAAAGTCATCACCATTATCGAAGTTGTTACTACCTGTCAAGTCAAAAATTAAAAAAAAAAACATGGAGTTCAAATCAAAATTAAAAATCAAAGAAAAAAAAAAATGTGAAATTAAAATCAAAATTAAGAATCAAAAAAACCACGAGGTCATATTTATATTGTACATGTTGCGGTTTCATATTTAAATTCGCACTAGACCAAATTTGTATGCACCAGACTGGATCCTACATGCCCAAACCAGATTTGTACACGCCAGGCCATGTAAGTATAAAAATTTGACTTTAGAATTTATAAATTTTTTTACTTTATTCACTGACTTTCTACTTGTTTATTGAATTTCTAATCATTCATTAACTTTAATTTAGCTATCAAATTTCATTATTATTTTACCTTGGCTGTGCTTTTCATGCTGCAGTTTTTATATAATATGAGTAAAAAAAATTTGTAATCTAAATAATTTTTTCTTTTATTAATTTTCTATATAATTCAGATATCAAATTTTTATTTTCAATTAGTCTTGGTCATTTTTTCTATACTGCGGTTTCACACCATATAAGTAGAAAATTTGTTTTAAAAGGTTTAAATTTTTTTTTTATACTTTATATATATTGACTTTCTATTTTGACTTTTTATATAATCCAGATATCAGATTTTTACTTTCATTTAGCCTTGGTCAGGCTTCTTGCACTGCAATTTTCGTGCTATGTAAGTAAAAAATTTGATTTAAAAGGTTTAAATTTTTTTTTTTACCTTATTTACTTCTTTGACATTTTATATAATTCAGATATCAAATTCTTATTTTTATTTAGTCTTGGCCGGGCTTTTTTTGCTGCAATTTTTGTGCCATGTAAGTATAAAATTTTTGATTTCTGAGTTTTTTTTTTTAATCAACCTTTTAACTAACAATTGAGTTCACTCTTAGATTTTGTAACTATAGTTAGGCTTCCCAAAATACCCGATACACCTGACAATTTTAACAACATAGTTAATTATCTTCAACATGGAGTTTTTGCAGAAAAGTACAATAGCCCACTAAAAAAATCAAATTTTCAGAGACGATGCAAAAACTTCATGTATAATGAGCAAACTGGTTACCTCTTTTTTGAGCAACCATCAAAAGGTGAAAATTCTCTGCTTATTAAAAAGCAGGTTGTCCCAACCTACGATACTGAGCTAAGAGAAGCTCTTTTAGAGAAATTCCACGCTGGTGCCGCTCACTTTGACTACCATAAAACATACACAATGATCTATGAATAGCATATCGGCATCACTCAGATTGAAGTTGAGAAATACGTGAATGACTACTTAACTTGTATTCGAAATGGAAATATCAAGAAAAAATCTGACTTAACACCTGTTGTTTCTGGCAGTCTATTAGAATATCTTCAAATCGACTTGGTCGATTTACTGTCCTATGCTAAGAAAAACGACGGGTATAGTTATGTTCTAACATTGATAGATGTATTTTCACATTACGTTTGGGCAATCCCTTTTAAAGACAAAGAAGGCAGTACAGTTCATAGCGAATTGGTGAACATTTTCAAGAATTTTGGTCCCCTTAGTAAACTTCAAGCTAACAATGAGTCCGAATTCATTACCAGTATTTTAAAAAACACCTGCAATGCATTTAAGATAAAGCTTGTTCATGGTTATGCCAGGCATCCGCAGAGCCAGAAAAAAATTGAAAGATTCAACCAAACGCTTGGCTGACATTTAACGAAAATGTTATGGGATGAAGTTACCGGAGTTCAGAGTTATTGTTGGATTGATGTTCTCGCCAATTTGTAATTGCCTATAATAAGACACCTCATCGGGCTCACGACAAATCGCCTTATGAGGCATTTTTTGGTTTTAAAATGCATGCAGTCTATAGTATGCCGGCAGACATTACACTAGCACCAGCACTAGCAGACATTATACCAGCACTAGCAGACATTACACCAGCACTAGCAGACACACCGGCACTAGCAGACATTACACAGGCACCAGCAGACACACCGGCACCAGCAGATATTACACCGGCACCAGCAGACACACCAGCATCAGCAGACATTACACCGGCAAACATACCGGCAGACATTACACCAGCAGACACTTCGTATGAGTTTCACGTAATGCAGGTAAAGCGTGTTCATAAGGAGGTTTTACGAAATGATGAAACTTATCAAAATAAGTTGGTAATTCGTAGAAGCGTTTATCAAAGAAAATTGACGTTTGAGCCAGGCGATAAGGTTGCAATTGCTTATAATCATGATAACAATCAAAAGACACAAAAGTAAAAATTAGAACAAACCTGTAGTGAAACTGGGACGGTTGTTAGTATGTGTAGCAATAATAGAATGGTTAGGGTAGATATAGATGGTGAAGTAAAGAACTTTGCTTCTAAAAATTTGAAGAAACTTAGTAAATAGCTTAGATAATATATATTATCTATAATATTTATATATAATAATAATACAATAAAATAGAATTTGCTATGTATATAGATAAATATCAAATGCAATTAAAAGTATTAATCTTTATTTAAAAATTGATTTTTTAGTTGAAATTTTAGTATACATGTGCAATAAATTGCTCACGGGCTATTGCTATCTAGTAATGAATAAAAAAAAGTCAATTAGAATGTATCTCGAAGAAAATACCCAATTGGTAAAGTAATTTAAAAAATACTATACAGAAACTTTGAATCTCTTAATGCGCAGTAACTGCATAGTAGCTATGTGGTTACTATTAAATTTAATAGTAATTATGTAATTACTATGTCATTACTATGCAGTTACTGCGTATTAAGATATTTAAGTTTCTGTAAAATATATACCGGATATATCTCTAGTAAAGATCTTGATATATCAATTAACAGTCAACATTAATTGAAAATAGTATATAACATTGGAGCATCTAATATAAGTGTTGCCAAAGGAAAACATATATATTTTTGTGCAACTAATTGATATAACTCCGAATAATATAAAATATATTATATCAATTAGTTGCACAAAAAATGTGTATGCTTTCTCTTGGCAATACTCTCAAAAGAAGACATTTGTATGATTGGCAGTTTAAATCAAATCAATTTTACATTATTTATACAGTTTAAAGTACTTATTAAAAAAAATAAAACTATGAAAAATAAACAAAAAAGAAGCATATACTTCTTTTTTGTTTATTCTTTGTAGTTTTATTTTTTTTAAAAAGTACTTTAAACTGTATAAATAATGTAAATTAATTTGATTTAAACTGCCAATCATACAAAAGTCTTCCTATAAGTGATACTCATATAACATCATCAGAGGTTTTTTTCGATTTTTAACAGTTGCTTTACCTTGTTTGGTGTGTCAAGTATAAACCGGGTTTGCATAAAGAGAGCAACTTTTTGTGTATCAAATACAAAGTAAAGTTTCCAGTTATATAATATAATTAGAAATTTATTTTGTATTCAATATGCAGGAAGATGCTCTCTATATATAAACCTGGGTTATACTTGATGTAACCTCGATACACCAAACAAGATAGGGCAGCTATTAAAAATCAAAAAAGATATCTGTTTAGAATACTACAAATGGATCGCATTTCTAAATTAATTATTTAAATTTTAATTTACCTTATATACAAGCTTTATTTTTTTAAGAATTTCTATATTAATATAGCAAAAAGAAGATATAGTTTAATATTTTTAATTAATTAAATATTTTAAAAATTAAATTAGTAAGCCTTATAATATAGTATATATATGGTATTTAAGCTAAAAATTTATTTTATTTAATTTGTATTATTATTTTTTTTTTAATATATATTAATATTATTTTATATTTTTTTAATATCAAAATAAATATTTAAATCTTAATACCATATGCCACTGACTATAGTACTCCAGGTACTATTCAATAAACTATCAAATTTCTTGAATAGTACCCTCCCGGGTACTAATCATGGGGGAGAGTACTATAATAGAGGTACTTTATATAGCTTCAATATTATTTAATAAGGACTTCAAATTTATATATAGTACTTGGCACAATCAAACGAAAATTTGATAGTCAAATACTTGTTAATACTTGTGATTAAATCGGACATCAAACGATTGCAGATCAACCAAAGCTAAATATATACTATTGGTTAATCAGTGATTATTTGATATCTGACTTAATTACAAGTATTAACAAGTATTTGACTATTAACTTTTTGTTTGATTGTACCGAGCACTATTTATATATATATATATATACCTATCTAGAATAATACTTGGGTTTTATTTAATTTTCTAAATTATGAATTCATAAATAGTATTCGAATCTTTTTCATAGGAGTATTATAATAGGAGGTACTTTTATTAATATTAGATTACAGTATATTTTAATTACTAGTACTACATATATTAATTATATTTGTATTATAAAAATAACTAATTATATATATAACTTTTAATTATTTAATTTAAATAAATTGTTTAAAAAT